ATATGGAGGGGATTATAATCAATGTAATGAAACAAGTTATATGAATGGTTGAATGTGAAACTGATGATGTGCCCTGTAAAAGTTCACTCGATCCACAATAAAAACCTTAAATTAAAGAAAAAAAAAATATGGGGTAGTCGATCCTACTTCAAAGGACTAAGTGGATTAAGGGAGATAAACATAATGTATAGAAAATACTTCATGTATCATATATTGCATGAGGTATTTTCTATACATTATGTTTATCTCCCTTAATATAACATATCCAACCTGCCTCATTTGTCCTTCTGTCCTGAGGCTTGAAAGATGCCCCAATTCCAGTGATCAGGAAAAGTTTAGGATGAGGGAAAATTTCAAGGGGAGAACTTTGATCCTGGGCTGAGTATCCCTCTGACATCAAAACAGGAAGGTTTGAGTGTCTTTGAAGACTCATCTGTCTAGGGCAGTCCTAGTCTACACCTGTCATCCCTCACTAATTAGTAATTGTGTCTCATTTTACTCCCAAGCCTCAGTGACTGCTTAGCTGGGTGGGGATGTCTCTGTGGGCTATATGTGGATTACGTGTGGGCTTCATGTGGATTGTGTAGGCTACATGTGGGTTAAACTTGTATGTGGACTGTGTGAAGGTTGTATGGGGGCTGCATGTGAATTTGTGTGGGTTGCATGCAGATCGTATGTAGAATGTATGGACCTACTAAGAAGAAGATAAAGACCTAGTGTTGGAGGCTGCTGGCCTAAGAGGAGAGGGGCCCTAGGGAGTAACAGCACCGCCTAAGTTCTGGGTGCCCCTTATCTTGCAGCTCCCCAAGGACTGAAGCTCAGTGGAAGCCAGTTGGCACTAGTCTACACCGCGCTAGGGCTCTGCTTGTGTGCTGCCATCTGCTGCTTCCTTGTGGCTGTGGCCTGCTTCCTCAAGAGGAGGGGGCGTCAGTGCTCCTGCCAGCTGCCCCCAGAACCTCAAGCCGAACCCCTCCAGGGTAAGTCCTCCCAGATTCACAAACAGGGAGCAACTCCGTTGTCTTGTCACCACTGCTGTTCTAAGTGGAGGACATTTTTCCAAATCATCTTTGGAACGGCTAGGAGCACATCCCTACATTATTTGTATTTCCTCTCTTCACGTACAGTCAGGTCTAAACACATAGGCAGGCAGGCAGGCAGGAGCATGCAGTCTCAACAGGGTGCAAGGCTCAGTCATCCAGAAAAGTCTCAGTAAATGGTGGAGCTGGCTGTCCCCAATGGGTATTGATTGTTTGGGAGTGCAGCCAGCAATGGCAGGAAGAAAGAGATGTTTGGGTGGCCTTGCTCTGTTGGGAGGTGGTTCTGTAGCTGCTGGGCCTGGGAGGTGCCAGTAGTCCCAGAGTATCTTGGCCTGGGCTGGCTGGAGGACCAGGTGGGGGATTGGGCAGTGGCATTTACCCATTCACATGAACTATTTCCTTATTCTCATAATCGGTGCCCATACCAGTGTAACCTGTGGATGTCTTCTGGGTGCAAGGAGGGGGAAGCGAAGGACTGCGTGGGTCTAATCCCTTTCCACCCCTTTCTCAGATCACTTGATGGAAGCTGGAAGTGTTGGGGGCAGGATGCCGGATCCAGTGGAAATGTGCAGCTTTTGCTTCCCAGAGCAGAGGACGCCCAGTGAGGAGAGCTCTGGGGGCTTTAGGGGGCAGGGCCTGGCCCACACACAGAGTTGCCGGCTCCTACCTGGGACCTCCTCTATGCAGCCTTCCTCCAGTGCCGAGGACAGGGAGGACAGTGGCCTCAAGATCATATGTGCGCCTTCCCAGGAAAGGGGTCTTACCACCTAGAGGAGGGGAGAGAGAGCAAGAGAGAGAAGAGAAATGCCAGAGCAGGAAGCTACTTCAGTCTCAACCCCAATTCTCCATGTAAGTTGTAGCTCACAATTACCTAAAAACATATACAATAAAGTCATCTTTGTCTGCAGATCATTTGATAGAAATAAAGCCTCAGGTAACTGCAGCTCCTCACACTTGACCTTGGCTGTGTCCTTACATGGCCCTCACACCTGCCCAAGGCACTTTGTTCTAAGGTCTCACTGGGCTCAGGGGAAAGCTCATTAACTTGTGCTGTGTAATAAGGAACTGGGTACAAGTGACAGAGGGCCCTTCCTTCTCTTTCCCTAAGGAGGGAAAGAAGAGAAAGTCAAGACTACAGAAGGGTCTGGCAGAGAGCACAGGAAAAGGAAATACCACAGTAGGAGGCTGGAGTTATGTACATTTCTTTTAGAAACACAGATTAGTGTGTGTGGTGGTGGGGAGGAGAGCTAGGGTGGATGGAAGTGGGAGAAGCTCAAGTTCCATGGTATTCTCCTGGGAACACAGTCACTCCCCTCCTTTTGTTACCAAACATTTACATTTACCTTTCCAATACTCACTGTCAGATGATAGTAATCATTCCCTATTGAACCACAGGAGTCCTTCCCCCTTCACCTTTTATCAACCCCATCCAGACCGGTTGGAAACAATTCAGTGGAGGTTCTATGTTTCCCTGTATCCTGTGGAGCTAGGTTCCCTATTGAAAGCTTGTAAGGCAGTCACTTCTTGCTTTTGTAGTCCCCCCATTTTGGGTAGCCAATGCCTAAGTTCCTCATTCCTGTCAACCCTGTGTACCAAGGTGGTGGGACTGATCCTCACTATAGAGATTTGTCTGCTTCTTTGTCATACTACATCCACAAGCATAGGTCAAGTTCATCCACTTATAGTGGGTTACTCCTTTTGTTTTCCTCTTCTTTCTTCCTCTAGTCGTATTCTGATCATCCAGCCATTGATGCCAGGTCAAATGGGTACTATATTCAAGTGTGGGTGTTCTTGTGCATCCCCCATACCTTTATATCAGCTGGATGCTTCACACTCTGTTCTAGTCCTCTGGGGCCATGTCCCTGCCCCTGGGCCCAGGAGTCCCCAGGTCTCGTCATACTGCTGGTTAACCAGGTCTCAATCCAGCTTAACAGGAGTCTATTGAATGTGGTCGGACTTAGTTCACAACTTCATTGCTGTTTTTCCCACTTCCCCTTATCAGTGACCAACATGGTCAGCAGCAGGACCATATGCCTGCTAGTGTATTCCATTTGAGTTTCAGTCTTGGAAGGGGGTTTGCCTTGAAGGGACCTGACCATTTGCCTTGATGGCTCCCTGGGGAACAACTTGCTTGTCCTTGCAGTAGTCAGTTGGACTGCTGCTATTATTTTTTATTTTTCCTGCTGGTCTCTCTTTTAAGAAGTATCTTCTGATCTTCTAGCTGCTCCAGACTGATCTGCTTGTCCTTTCACGTGGGATTGTCCCACCTCAGAAGATTCTGGATGGGGATCAGGATTCCACCTATTGTCTTTTGCAATGCAGAGGCTCCACAGGGAGCCTCCTTCACTGGGCAAGTTCTAGCCCCATTTTAGGTATTACAAACAGTCATAGGCTGAAGACGGACTTACAAGATTTCTCTGGTGATGTTTCTGGCTATTCCTCTCTCTTCCCTTCAAGTGTCTATTTTACAATAGTAGGCAAGGAAACCAAGATTCAAAAGACAACCAAGCATCTTAAGAGAGGGCATATGCATAAGAACATCCACACTTGCGAATGATACCCACTCGACCTGGCTTCAATGACTAGATGATCAGAGCTCAACTAGAAGAAGAAAGAAGAGAGAGAGAAAAAAGATTAATCTGATACAATTTGATGAACTTGACCTACATCTATGGATTCAGTAGCTCAAAAGAGGGAACAAATCTTTACAGCGAGGATTATTCCCACCCCTTCTATACACAGAGTAGACAGGGATGGCAACTTGACATTGGCTACCCAGAATGGGGGGTGGGGTGGTGGAGGGGGAGAGCTACAAAGGCAAGAAGTGACTGGCTTACAAGCTTTCAAGAGGGAGCCTAGATCCAGAGGGTGTGGAGGAAGGTGGAATCTCTGAGTAATATCCAATCTGTCTGGACAGGGCTAATGAAAGGAGATGGGAATTGGTCCCTTGTGGTACAATGGTGAATAATTGTTATCAGGACTGATTGTGAGAGTTGGAAATGTTAAGGTGGACATTTGTAGCAAAAGGAAGTGAGTGATTGACTATGCAGTCCAGGAGCCGAGGTCCCTGGAACCATCAAGGGAGAAGAGCAGAGTGCGAGACCCTACCCAGAGAAGCAGTGACGCCAGAGATAGAGGCAGAGACGATGACTTGGAGAGATGGAGCAGCTGGGGACTCGAGACACAGAGAGAGTGAGGGACTGTGTGCTGATGACCAGGGGGCAGGCTTGCAGGGTATACCTTTTGGTTGGTTGATGATGCATTGAGGGGATTGTAAGCATGGCAATGAAACGATATACGATAGGATGAATGTAAAGCTAATGTTCTCCCATGTAAACTATCATATAATTCACACAAAAAAAATTTTTTTTAAAGTGAATGGAATTTTTCCATGAACTTTTTGAAGGCTCCTTATATTGTACATCATTTACCCATGATTAATAAAGTGAGATATTTATTATATTTGAAAAAAAAGACAGCCAATCACCTTAACATCATTTCCCCACTTTTACCCATTCAAACCACGCCTCAATCTTTGTATCCACGAGCCCTGTTATTCCACGTGTGTGCTTACATCGTTATTTACCTCTGTCCTATTTTAGTGTATGTGAACCTGCCTAGCTATTCTCCCATCTGCCTTATTTTTCCTTTCACCTTCTCCTTCTAGTGTATATCTTCCCTGCCCTCCCCCCGCCCGCACGCAAACTATCCTGCGTCTATTCCATACCCTGTCTTCCACCTTCCCCTCCCTGCCCTCATACACACTGATAACTAACAAAAACAATTTTTTTTAATTATATAAAAGATAACTTTCCTCCCCCTTTTAGTGTGGGTGCTTTTTCTTAATCTTTTACAATAATGGATCTATGCTGTATTTCTCCTTTTGTGACTGACTGATTTCACTCAGCACTATGTCCTCAAGGTTCATCCATGTTATGCGGTGGCTTACTGCTTCCTTGCTATTCTTTAGGGTAGCATAGTATTCCACTGTGTGTATGGACCAAAGTTTGTTTATCCATTCTTTGATAGATGGGCATTTAGGCTGTCTCCATCTTTTTTTCTATTGTAAATAGTGCTGCTATGAACATTGGTGTGCATATATCTACTCATGTTATGGCTCACATTTCTTGTGGACAAATACCAAATAGAGGAATTGCTGGATCATAAGGTATCTCTATTTCCAAGCTTCAGAAGAAGTGCCATACTATTTTCCAGAGTGGTTGGACCATTTTGCAATCCCACCAGCAATGAAGGAGGGTTCCAGTCTCTCCACATCCTGGCCAGCACTTATTGGCCTCTATTTTTTTTTTTTTTTTTTAATCTTTGCTATTATTGCTGGTGTGAGATGATAGCTCATTGTTGTTTTCATTTGCATCTCTCTGTTAGAGTAGTGGTTACGAGTCAGGTTGCCAACCTCAAGGCTGAAACTACCAGAAGTTCTACGGGAGAAAGATGAGGTGTTCTGCTCCCATAAAGATTTACAGACTCGGAAATCCTGTGCAGGGTCACTATGAGTAGGAACCAACTCCACTGTACTTAACAACAACAATGGCTAGTGATTGTGAACATTTCTTCATATGTTTGTTGGCTGCCTGGATCTCCTTCTTGGTGAAGTGTCTATTCATGTCCTGTGCCTTTTTTTTTTT